ATAGAAAACTTGTGGGAGCTGGGCTCCCTACCGGAAGATTGGACCTCCAGAGGCCTACTCAGCAGCCTCTTCTTTAGGGGGGGGGGGGGGCCTAAATGGCTTTTCTCTTCAATCTCAGCAGCCGCTGACCGGAGTTGAGACGGCCCGATCGGAAGCCGCAGCCAGGAAGCCGCAGCACTGGGCCCATCGTTTCCTTGAGGTGTTGGGGTTTTGAGGAGGCTCAGGATGGGGGGTTTCAGAAGGTGTTCAGGGCTTCGAGCGGTTCTTCTCGGAGTTGCGTGGGCCCGAAGCGGCTGTTATTGCGTTTTTCCTTCAACCCCAGGCAAGTCGAGGGGCAGAAGGTGGATCCCGTCGCGCAGGGCCGTAAACCGCTGAAGGCTCGAGTGCAAGGTCTCCAGATGCTGCCCTCGCGAGGTTTCGGCACAGAGCAGTTGATCTTCACTTAGACTTGGTGATTTCGTTGGGGAGCAGCGCCCATTTCCTCGTGACCGGTCGAGGTTTCGGGCCGCCGTGGTTCGCACTCTTTGGGAGCACTACCGTCAAGGCCCAATCCTGAAACCTGACAGTTACCAACGGCCAAAGATCAGAGCCCCAAATCCGAAACGCAGACTGTTTTACTAGGGACCGCACGCATGCGAGCATCCTCGAGCACCTTCCGCGCAGAAGTCTATCATGGGCTCTCGACTTTAGAAGCAGGGTTGAAGGGGTTCGGGCCCCCTCTCTTCAACCCCACCCAGACATGGATGCAATCACCGTTAAAATCTAGCATGCACAGCTGCTGCGACGCAGGGAAACAACAATGGAGACGAAGGAACCCCCCACGGCTCGTTTCAATCGATTCGACCCCTTTCATGGCATTCCGCCAATTCCTGGCAGCGACCAACGACCGTCAGCTCCAAGCCCAAGAGAGATGACATCCTCCCACGGTTTTGCGCCAAAGGCACGCAGCTGTTGTAGTGGGCGGTGGCTGGCACTCCGCCATTCTCCAGAGCCCGGTCGGGGCGGACAGCATTTCGGTCCTCGGCGCAGCGGGGTGCTGGATCGTCGGTTTCTGTGATTTGGGAGTTCCAGAGAACGAAGGATCCAAGAAAGGACCCAAGATCCCCATGAAACAGAAATCCTCGATCCCCAACACTGAACATTCTGCTGCAAAGGAAGTAACGAAGACAACACGTCGAGAAGCATGTAACATCTGTGCAGGCGTGCATCTATGCATGACAGTTGTATTCATGAATGTGAGAATGTGTGCTCATGCATCTGAAGCTCCTGTCTGTCTATCTATCCCTTACCCAGAGAACCCAATACCCCTTAATTAAGGAGTATGCCTTAGAGTATAGGGGCCTTAATATTATTAATATTAGGATTTAAGGTCTATTCCTTAAGGCATGTTGGGTTCTCTGGGTAATGAGGTTCAAGGAGATTCGGGGCCCCAAAGAGCGAGCTGCCGGCCCCAACACGCGCACCGGCCAGAGGTCTGCAGAGTAGGTGGGCAGCAGCCGGATGGTCCACCTGAAAACAGCCAGGTAGGCCAGGCCAGGTAGGCCAGGTAGTGTTGTTTGGGGGTTTTGGGGTTTGAGGTGTGGGGTTCTTGGTTCAAGGATGGGCTTTGAGTCTTTGAGGTTTCGGGGCACAGGGCCGAGAGCAACTCCTCTTGCTGATCTCACTCCTGACTTACAGCAAGTCTTCACCCGGATTTCCGGCAAGACCAGCCTCGCATCATCCTCCGGTTGGAGGCAGAGGCATGGCCTCGAAGGGTCGGGCGTTTTCGTCAGGCTTCAGGGCCTCGCGAAGCCTCGGCCTAAAACGAGCCCCGTTTTCCAAGCTCTACCCTTGAAGTGGAGGCCATGGCACCGCAGCGGATCGCCCGCCAGGGCCTACGAAGAAAGCTGGCTCAGGGTTAGAGCTTCGTTCCAAGGACTCGGTCTTTATCGCAATAACGGTCCTTCGCGGACATGTTCCTGAGACAAGTTGTCCATCAAGCCCAGAAGGCCATGAAGTAGTACGAGGGCTTTGGAACGCTTGAAGTTAGCGGCACTTCTGCCCAATGGCCTCGAAGCTGGCACTCAGGGCCACGAGCGGCTCGCTACCTGCCAGAAGAGGTGTAGGCTTCAGGGTCTAGGGTAGTAGAAGCAGGGCCTTAGGGTTTTGGGGGTGTCCGGAGTTGCGAACAACGGACCACACCTAGCCAAGAGGGATGTGCCAGGTAGGTAGTTCGGCGACATGCTTGGCTACCTTGGAACGGGTCTTTGACCGTAGACACGAGCACATGCTTTTGCACATAAACACGTAGGTACATGCAGCGTTTCTACATATCTCATATCTGATTAAATCGGCACTCATGTTGTTACGTTATCCAGACGTCTATCAGCATCCTAGGTGCAATGCACAAGTAAGCTTTGCACCACAATTACTCCGACCAACGAAGAGAGAGTTCTCTTCGATCATGCAACTTTTTCATCAGCTGCAGGCTGTCGGGTAAACCTCAGAGGGCTAGATGTCCCCGAGCGAAGGAGTGAGGTAGCGAGGGAGGGAGATAAGGACGGCCATCGCCCAAAACTTCATGCTCTGATCTATACGAATCCTGACTGCCTTCTGAGCAAGCGGCCTAGGCGCCTACAGCCTGCTTCGTGCTCCAGGCGCGTGCGACAATGTGGATTCTTTGCCCGCCGATTCCTGCAAGAAGTCGAAGACAGCCGTGGCAAACCGCTGCGGATGCTGGAGCTCCGGAAAGTGGGCAGACTCGTCGAAGTACTGATGAGAGACGCCTCCGGAGACATAGCGAGAGAAGGAGGGCGCCTCCAACTCCCGCTGAAAGTTTCCACGGTGGGTCGCATCCTGCATTCCCCACACTACCAGCGTACTGGTCTTGATCGTCGCAGCACCCTCACGCAGAAGGCCGACCAGCTTGCATTCGCGCGGTGGCGCATAGAAGAGCTGTTGCAGGCACCAGGCGAGTGGAAAGCGAGCACCGGCATCAAAGGCCTTCCCAGCTACGGAAGAAAACCATGTCCGAGCTTCATCGGCTCCATGCTCTAAGGAACCTTCTGCATCCAACGCCCTCGACCCTCGGCAGCCGGAGCACTCAAGGTAACTGCCACGTTTGGGAAAAGTGGCCTTGTACCAATTGGCACTGATGGCCTTGGCGTTCAGGTAGTTGTACAACCGGGCCAAGATTGGAAGTGACAACATGCCACGAGCGTTGACGCCGTTGGCCCAGCTTAGCTCCCCTGCATAATCCGCGCACTGCACCACCACCAAATGCTCCACGGTGCCCTGTGGAAGGTCCCGAAGCAAAACAGGAGAGAACAAGGCACTGACGCACGGCATCACGAGTACCAGCCCAGACTCCGAGGCAAACTCGCACTTAACTTTCTTAACAAACTCGGTCAAATCGCACGCCAAATCATCCATTGAAGCTCGTGCCGAGTGTGACATCCCAAATCCAGGCAGCTCGAAAACGATCATGTCGCTCTCAGGGAAACGGCTCTGCATTGCTGCAAAGCAGTCATCATAGTGCTCCACAACATTCGGCGGATCTGTCGCGAAGAGAAATATAAACTTCGGGATCAAGACATCACCCTCGGATCTTCGCTGGTGTGTCCTCAACCTGAACTGTGTGCGGCCCACCGCCCACACATGAATCGCCATTGAAAGCAGGCGCTGGCTTGCTATGTTCTAGTGAGCAGCCGCAGCCCGTTTCCGCTAATCCTTTGGCTAGGTCCTGCGGAAGATGCATGGAGCTTGGAGTTCACGGCTTGGGGGTTTAGCATCACACCGCGGTAGCCTCGAAGCAGCCCATCACAGAGCTGCCGGTGCAGCTCCGCGAGGTAGGCCGCGCGCTTGTCGTGGTACCGGAAGTTTAGGTAATCCTCTCGCGGGTACGGGCGGGCCAGGAAATTGAAGCTCGATCTCAGGCTTCAAGGCTTCAAGGGTCAGGTAGAGCGGTAGAGCTTACAAGTTTCGGTGCCAACCCATTCCTTGGATCGGAAGATGTCTGAGGGCATCTCGACTGCCACATCCACAGTGAGCTCCTCTTTCGTGTACGTCCCGAGCCTGGAGGCATCACTGAACTCTGCCCAACACTCTGTGCAATCCCTACATGCCCCACATCAGCTGTCCATTTCTGGAAGGGAGACTGCTGCACCACTCTAGCTCCAGCCGAGCAGCAGAAAGCTGCCGACCACGTCGATACGCCTCCAGGCAGTGCGCATGGCGTATTCGTCACCCTGATAATCATCATCATCATCATCACCATCACCATGAACATCACCATCACCACGCCATATCAGTATTTGCAATATCCTCATTGCCATCCATATGATCACTCCTATCTTATTGGCTACCATCGCTGTCGTCATGATCACCATCATTCTGGACACCAGTATCATCATCATAATCATCCTCATCATCCACGTCGTCGACGTCTCCGTCATCATCATAATTCTCACCGGCGCCGTCGTCACTGGCAGCACTTTTGTCGCCGTCATGTTGATGCTCTCGTTCTGTCACCATCGCCTTCAATAGCACCATCAGCAGCATCACTCCGAGGACTAAGATGTCGCTGCAAGCGGAAGAGTCGAAACTGTGTTCATGGTCAGACTCCCAAACGTCATCATCACAATCACTCCTGCCAACAACACTACTCAGTCACTACTCCCATTATCGTAATCAACGAACTCATCACGACGGTCATCATCGTCATCGTCATGTTCGTGTTAAATCAACTCTACGTCTCCATCTTCATCTCGATCTTCCTCGTCAGAATCATGACTGAATGCGTACCTCACTCCGCTTTTCGGATGCCTCGGGTGATGATGGTAGTGGCGGCTGCTTGCTGCGAGAATTTTGCTGGTGCAGCCAGCTGTCGCAGTTGCTCTTGTTGCTGTTGCTGCTGCTGCTGCGAAATCTCCGCCTCGGCGCAGTGAAACGCAGCGCCGAGGGAGCCGCCCCGCCCCGCTGCATGAAGCGCAGCGCCGGGAACTCTTGGGCAAAGTCCGCCTCGTCGCCAGTTCCATAAATTCAGCCCAGCGGAATGTCTGAACCCCCTCCCTCTTCAGCCGACCGGGGAGCCGGAATGTCTCTGGCCCGGAGCTTCTCCAGAAGCAGCGGCCGCAGAGCATGAAGAGCTGCCTGCGTTTAGCAACTGGCTCCCAAGAGACCTAGGCTTTTGGCCTCAACAGAGCCCGAGCTGCAGTTCCTGTCACCGAGTTCCACAAGAAAGGCTCATGGAGCGCTGTGAGATCGGATGTCGTGCCTCAAGCCCCGGCGGCGGCTTTTTGGGCGTCATCTCCTTGATGAGCTCCTGTGCGCAGGATCTTCGTGGGGGGACCCGAAGAAAGAGAGAGAGAGAGAGAGAGAGAGAGAGACAGAGGCGAAAACTCCCAACAAAAAGCCAAGGCCAGACACAGCCCCCAAAAGGCACTTCGCACTGAACTCTGCCCTCTGCCTCCAGTTGCAGCCGGAACAGGTTCGACTTGTAAAGGTTCCGCGTTCGTGCAATCTCGACCACCTGGGCCACCGAAACTTCTCTGGGATGCCTCGCATTGTTCCTCCTACTTCGCTGGTTATCCGGGAGTGCCAGACAGAGGTAAGTTTAGTGCTTGAAAAAGGTGATGCAAAAAAGAAAACCTAACGACGGCTGTGGGCTTTCGCTGACTCCTAAAGCTCCCTGAATACCCCGCGCACGAGATCCAACCCCCAAACCCTCAACCCCCCAAGAGCTCCTAAACCCCAAATCCCCACACCAAACCCTCCTAAACCTGAACCTAAACCCCCCAAAATCTCCTAAATGCCTCAAAAACTCTCCGAAAGCCCAACGAGGCCCTCAAAACCCAAACCCTCCAAAACGCCGCGCCTCGGCGGCCTCTGGGGCTTTGAAGAGCTGGGACTTCTGCTTCTTGGGTGCCGGTGCCGGAGCATCTGCCGGGGAGCTTTCTGGGGGGCTCTTTTGGGTGCTCAAACGTCCCATCATCTGGGCGTAAACTTTTCTACGAGGAGTGGAGGCGGGAAGGGTTTGAGGGCAGAGGAATCCGGGAGGGTTCTTGGGTAGGTGCGGTTAGGCTTTGCCAAAAAGCATCCCTGGCAAGGCTCCCCTGTCAGAGAGAGCCCCAGTGTGGACTCGATGTATGCAGTTCGGTGTTTGAGTTTGCTGAGAATACTGAATGCGCCGTGAAACGCAACTGCGGGTCTGCTAGGTGCCGCTGGGTCCGTGATTCTTGCGTCTTCGCAGTGGAAAGACTGCTGCTGAGTGGAGGGAGGCGCGGGTTTCTCGGATTCGCCTTAGCACATGAAACCTGAAGGGGATCCCTCAAAACACTGACTACTTCATCCTGAAAGCTCGAAAAAACAACCCAATGCGCCAAACTGCCCACCGCAAGGCTTAAACCCCTAGGCCCTAAACCCTCAACCCCTAGGCCCGAACGGAAGACCGATAAATTACCGTAATAGACTACAGCATGCGAGAAGATAGTCTAACATATCATGATCTCCTGTAATCTTCACGTTGCAGGGGCACCTTCTGCCTCTCCGGCAGATTCCTCGGCAGGGTTCTTTTCGGCTGCCTTCACCTCCAAGAGGGCGAAACTGTTCCAAGGTCTTCTCGGGTTTCTTGGGTTTGGTGCTTCTGCCCCTTATCAGAAGCTCGAGGAGTGGCAGCTCTTCAATTCGAGCCGTGAGCTTCGGCTTTGAGGGGGAGCTTGCAACAAGCAGACTGCCGCTTCGTTAATATTTTAGCGGCTCTCGAGCCCTACTCCGTGACAACTTAGCACGCCGGCCGCAAACCTTTTTGAAACGCGCGCACCTACGGTGGTCGTGGAGAGAGAGAGAGAGAGAGAGAGAGGGGGAGAGAGAGAGCGAGAGAGAGTCGAGCTATCACCACTTGCAGAAAAAGTAACTGCAATGGATTCTTGTTCGTGGCCGGTGGCCTTTACGGCCGTCCGCTGACAACACACATCGACATAAATCTCGGAGACTCAATTTGCATTCACGGTATGTGCATTCTTACTCGCATATTGCAACTATTCCAGCAGATCATGCATTGAGCACACTTCGTGTCATGCAAGTTGTTGATGCTGGTGAGTGTCCTGAGACTGTCAAAACAATTATTGTGTGTGTGCGCTGCTAATCTCATCACTCCTCAGGTGATGATGACTCCTGTTGTGAGAACATTAACTTGAATACTACCGAGATTCTTGATGTTGTGGCCGCCGTGAACCTCATGCATGCACGCATCATCTACACTGCATGTATTCACATCACAACAGATTAAATTACACCACACTGCATTATGCCGCATTACAAACACATCTTCATGTTGTTGCAGGGCTACGATCGGACAGCCGGTGGCCTCTGGTGAGGTTGAGCCCTCGCTGCACAAAGGCTGGTAGCATGTTGGACTGCCCTTGGCTGTCTCACCGATAAGGACATAGTGCCTTGAAGATGAGCAGGACGACCAATCAGGCTAGCAATTTCAGTCCGTTCCTCACCTGCCTGCATCGATGAAGATTATCAGACACGCTACCAGCTCAGAGCCGCTCTGCATGACCCCTTCCTGTGAGAGGCAGTGCTGGGAGCTTAGCTTCGCAATCGAGGCGGTGATTTCTCAAAACCAAGCTCCTGGTTTATCATTCATTCAGCGGGGTAGAAAGCACGTGACACAAGGAGCCTTGCTTTGAAGAAATCCCCGCGTAGTGTACACGGCCTCACGACGTTCCTCCACAGACAACAAAGGTAGAGCAACAGCTGCTCCTCGACAGGCTGGAAACATGATGGATGATATCTGCAGAGGAACTTATTTCACCCAAAGTTTCGAATGAGGTGCTTTACTGCACTGCAGAAAACCTGACAAGTGCTGAAGCAGAAAGACCTGCTGTCTTCTACTCCGCACATTGCAGACATGCGACATTTGGGCGTCGTGGATTCCCCTCTGAGGTGCCGGTTCTTGCATGAGCAAGGTTCCAGGCCCCCGTGTGCAAATCAATCCAATACGACTAAGGCTGGGCAGGTGCCTTCGGCACAGGCCAGTTGAAAACTCGTCTGAGACTGCCAAAAGCTCGTCTTGAACCGCTCTTCATAGGCTTGCATTTCTGCATGGCATCGCCTAAGATCTCTGGGCAGCCCACTTTCTGGGTGAGCACTTTCTGGGTGAGACAGCTAAACATGTTGCCGCGACCTTCCTTCCGTTCCATCTACTTGCGAATGTATCACTGTCGAGAATATCTGCGCGCATCTGGCCTCGGATTCCAAGCAGGGACTCCGGGGCCAAGCTTTTGCAACCGACCCTGCGGCATCATTATTCTTGCTACCTGCGGTAGAATCGATGACGACGATGATGGCGGGCACAACCAGTACTGTTCACTATTCCTCTCTCCATATCACTACCAGTCTGGCTGCTCCTCCCATGTATACCACTAGGCCGAATACTGTGACGACTCGGTATTGCTGTCGCCAAAATACGTGGTCTTATTGCTTGCTCTTGATGCTAGAAACCACCAGACTGATCAATCCCTCATCGAAACGCAAGCTACCATACCCGAATCCCCTGAGAGCAGGATTGCTGGGTTTCTGTGGCCGCTGCAAAAAGGCAGAAGACCATAAGCCAGCATCGGGCAAGGTTCATGGAGGAAACTGTGCTGCCGTGATCCGTGATTCCAAAGTTCGAAACAACCGTAAAAAACCCACTGTGACAATCATCGATGTGTGGATCCTTTTCTGCCCCGCTCCTCTCCCAAACATATGTTCTGCCCAAGCACTGGGGCGGCGCCCCACCTCCGAAGCGGCCTCCGAAGCAGTTCGGGTCGAAGTCGGCTTCGTGGCTTTCAGAGACTGCGTGCTTCGGCAGATGAGCAGGTTGGCTGAAATTTCAACGAAAATCCCAGGGAATGATGGGTCAGACCTGCCGATCAGCTGAGATTCTGCGAGCTTGATGTGTGAGCCGGCACCGGAAGACCAAAGGACAGGCATAACCCTGAGCGCCCTGTCCGTCCTGACTACATGATGTAGGGGGGCCGTAATGACTGGAATAGGGCCTTGAATAGGGTCTTGGGGCATGTGGTATTATATGACAATAGATAGAGACGATCGTTGGGATAGCTACTACTAAGTCTTCCAACCTCTATGATAGCTCTCCTGCCTCTTGCTGCAGAAATCCCTGCACAATAGTAACAGGTAACAGGCACCAAAACCCAAAACATAGCCACAATCGCAATCATGACGATCAGAGTGGTAATCATAGCAAGGCCTGCGTCTCTCAATGCCGGGGGTGGCCACGAGGGTGGCCCCGGCCGTCCGCTGCCTCGGAAGCGAAAGAAGCGCCGGAAGAATCCAAACACCAGGACGAACAGATGCGTATCTATAGCACTTTAGACTTTAAAGTACTCACTATTGTAGACTGTAGCAAAGAGTATATTTGTATAGCATGAGAGTATGTTACAGTATGGTATAGTAAGGTGCATGGAAGAAGATCACCAAGACCGCCATCTTCATCAACACGACAAATAGCATCAACTTGACTCCTTAGTACGACTCCGAACGACGTTTGCGCCTCAAAAAGGCTCCGATGAGGAGAGAGCTCTGGTTTGCTTGCTTTAGGGAGATGCGCTTAGAGCGCGGGAGTGGGGTTCTGAGGGTTCGGGGGGTGTTACTTTTCGAAATCTCCAACGTGCCAGGTTGATGCCACATCAACTTGAACATGTACGTCCTTCACAGGAAACGAAAGATTGTAACCTAAGAGGAACAGGGTGGGAGCGAGACATAAGGCTGAACCTGCAAGCAACAACAAGAAGACTTGGAGAGCAGATCGGTATTCACACACCGGACATACTCTCCTCCACGGAGTATGTGCTAACACCCTCGACGCCACACCTCGGCCTCTGGGAGACTTCAAGATCCTTTCAGATCTTCTCTTCGAATCTCAAGCTCTTGCATCGAGCACGAGGCCGAAGAGTGTGGAAAGCTGGTGATGTTTCTAGGGCCTCTCCGAGAATTTGGCTTGGCAGACGGGGTACTCCAAGGGAGCGAGAGAGAGAGAGGGAGTGAGAAACAAAGAACGCCAAATAGCAAGCAATCCCGGTCGGCCAACTTCCACTGCTGAGACCTACTTAGAACCCAGCAGTTGCTAACGTCTGGAACTATGCTTGAGTCCACCACACGCGACTCAGAGGAATACAAAGAGGCACGGGTTGAAGCCAGATAACAGCAATCGTCACTACAGGAGGAGTTAGGATACAGCAAACTTGTTACATCAAAGCAATGTAGACCGGGCAATGGAACAGAAAGAGTAGCGGCAATGGCAAACCTAGTTAATTAGTTGTGGCCCTTGGCAACTAGCTTGCAAAGACCTTCCATCCTAAACACGTACGCCCCGAACGCCATGTCCTTGTGAACTATCCCAAAATTGACATCCTCCGATTTGGCCCAGCTGCGCACGACTGCTCCGTGTCTGACGGCCCTTTGTAGGCCAAGGTTGACAGAGGAGACCTGTGACCGGCAATGTCGTTCATTAATCGAATGTTCACCACCACCACTACGAACTGCTAGTGCTACTGCTAATACTACTACTGCTG